ATTTTAACCTTCAATATTATAATAATGTAGTACCAACTGACTCTCATGTATATTTTACAGCATTAGTTGAGTTTTTCTTTCCTTGAGAAAATTTGGCATGTACTGTACCTGATATATATCCAAAATAATCGATATTTAATCGAATCGCAAGCTTGTGAATGAGAATCGAATCATGAAATTTGTGTCAAAACCCAGCACTACTCTGTAACTGTATGACTGACTTTCATCAGAAAAACACAAAAGAAGATATTCTGAGAAACGCTGGAGTCCAAACAACATTAGACACCATTGACTTTCATTGATAAGAATTGGGCATTATGAAATCCAATTTATTATTTCCCAAATTCAAGTTTTTCCATTTAAATTTTTCCAACTTTTTCAATTTAATGGTTAAGTTAAATTTTAGTAATCAAAAACCATGTCTAATTAATTGAAATCATAAAATGTATACAATTTAAGAACTATTAAAAGTTTAAAAAGAATAAAATTTTTAGGGGCCTATGAAATAATTTTATTGTTTTTCCAAATTTCTATTTTATTTTTCCCAAATTTAGTTTTTACTATTTTAATTTTTCTGGATTCCATTATAATTGTTTAATTAAATAGCATGTCTAATTAATAGAAATCATAAAATGTATACAATTTAAGAACTATTAAAAGTTTAAAAAGAATTAAATTTTTTCCTGTTTTATTTTTTCCAAAATTCTATTTAAATTTTCCCAAATTTTGTTTTTAACCATTAAAATTTTTCTCGGTTCCGTTTTAATGATTTAATAAATTTTAATGATCAAAAAGTGTGTTTAATCATTTCATACAATTTTTTTATTTATTATTTTTCACAACAATATGGCCCTAAGAAATGTTTTATTTTTCAGACATTCTGTGTTGTCTGTTTATATTTTTCTGGATTTATGATTTAATACAAATTTATAATGAAAAACAGTGATAATCAAATGAAGGCATAAACCATTTTAATATTTTAAAGTTTAATGGAATGACAATTTAAAAATGCATTTTATTTTTTGGCAAATAAACTGTATGACAGAATTTTACTGTTAAAATTAAAACATGGAAGAAAAATTGTGCAATATTCCTTAAATAGTTTAAATTAAAATTTTATTTTATATTATTACTACTACTTTGAGGAGTATATTCTACTGCACAACAATAACATATTTCACAATTCACAGTAATGCGTCACAAATTACTCAAGTTAAGTTGAACTTTTATTTTGGCAGGTTGTCTTGAAGACTGAGACACACACAACGAGCAGACTTCACATTAAAAGTCCTTTTGCAGTTTAATATTTACAGACACGAGTCCATATCGCAAATTGATTAAGCCCTATTTTTTATTTATTCATTGAAAATTTGCCCAATTCTGCATTATACAGTTTACCACTAGCAGGAAAATACATCTTCCGTTTCAGATGAATACAAAATTATATATAAATAAATAAATACATAAACACTAAAATATACCATGTACTTAAGTTATTTGTGACACTGCAAAATAAAACAGCGTTCCTTCTGAATTACAACGTTTGTTTTAGTTTAGTTGGTGAAAAGTCACCCGAACATATTCAGTTTGGTTAGATTCACCCAAAAACCTCGGATTTCCATCAAAAAGAACGCGATTTCTGAATGTCTCTAATGAAGGCAGGGGGTTGTTTTGCATGTTGTTTTAAAGTTTGTTGACATTGTTCGCAGGGGTGAGAGGATGACTATCATTTCCCATCATCCTCTCCTCCCCCGTGATGGAGGGGCGACAGCTGAGAGCATGAAACAGCGAGATCAAGACGGATCCGAACGACGAGGATCAAACAGGCTTCGCAAACACTCGGACCCTAACGACATCGACACGTGTGCAGCGAAAGAAGGCTCTTTTAGATTTACCATGTTAAAATGCATTTTCCAAAAGCGTGAAAGCCATCTGCAGATTATATCAGATTCTCTGTATCCTGAATCAGTCGTTTCTATAATCAGAGTAGTAGTAACAAAAGTCATGTTTATTGTTAAAATGAGCAAATGTAAAAGTGCCTACCAAACTGACTGCTGGGTAAAGTAGGGCCTCGGTTCTTCCCGTTCGACATCGGATGAGGAAACATCTACCGAAGAGAGAAAAAAATTTTATCAGCTGAGAAAATACTCACCATAGCTTCAAAATAATATTATTAAAAATAATAATAAAATACATTATATGCATATTACAGATCTTTTGCATCAATAATAGTTGAAAAATATATATTTTTATTTTATTAAATTTTTTCCACACACATATATATATATATACATACATGCATACATATATTTTTTTTCTCGCTTGTTTGTTATATATTATTTTTTCCAGGTTAAAATTAAGTGTAAATTCAATTTCGTTGTTTAATTAAATAGCTTATTTACTAAATAATCTATTAAGTAATTAAATTAATAAAAGTTAACAAATTAAGGAAAAGTGTATATCAGGGTTATTACGGTTATAACCTAAAAAAAAAAAGAATAATTACTTGAAACAAAATAAATGTTAACTGAATAAAATAAAATATATATAAAAAAAATGCAAGGCAACGTTTCTCATTTTAATTTAGTTTAACATGATGTACTAAAATAAGCTATAACTGAAAAAGAATAAATACCATATAGACATATATACAAATCTGAAACTACTAAAAATGGCAAAACCACACATCAAAATTACTAAAACTTTAACTAAAATTGAAAATATAAAATATATAACTTTTCAAAATATTAATAAAAATTATAATAGTATCTAAGTAACACAGGTGTATATTCACAAACAAAAACATTCAAAAAATTATATATATATATATATATATATAGTATATTTCATTTACATTTTGTGTCTATAACGTCTCAATTATGAAGCAAAAAAAGCAATAAGGTACAATATAGGCCTAATAAAAACACGCGTGTCGCCTGACAACGGCCTTTAGTTTTGACTACCATACAACACAGTCACAATGCAGCACAGTCTCTTGCACCTTATTGCGTTTCACACCGCTTAACATTTGATGTCAACTATCCATGAATGTCTTTTATTAAAAACAGAAGAACAGTCTCTTCGACTTACAACACTGAAATCCAACAGGTCGTTCAGCTCCATGTCGTTCCCCACCGTCGCCATCCTGGTCCTGTGTGTTCTTGATCTGCTTCTCGCGCTCAACGTCTCTCTCTTTCGCTCTCAGCTCAAACAGGTTTATGATCCTGCAGGGAAGGAGATGCATAATGGACAAACGTACTTTAAGATCATCTATGAACCTCTGGGTCTAGAAATTAAATCTGGCATGAACGCGTACGATCCAAAATAATCGGGCTGCTGCTTCCATCTGAAGAACTGCTCTACATTACAGACCTGCTTTAATAGAGTGTTTTCCCAGAATGCACCACATCTGAACTCGGTTAACCACCAAAGGAGACCACCAGCGAGTGTCCATTCCAGGCGCTCGAGAAATAACCACCCACTTACCCACACCTAGAGTACGGGAACTAGTTAGTTGCACAAACAACTATGATTCCTGGAATTAAACAATGCATGTGTAACATTTCCATAGCATGAAATATCAAGTTTATTTCTACACATACTAGTTTTGCAAACTTTTATATGTAACTTTTAGTTTTAATTTCCATGCAATACATGCATTTGCACTTGAATAACATGCGTTGAGAAGACAAATGTCACGTCACTAACGCAGAACCAAACCGTTCACCAGTTAAAACAAAGTGCTGTGATTTTACACTTTTCCTTAATTCATGAAGCAACTCATTAAACATCAGCACTGCATCACACAGACACAAGAAAAGTGAGAAGCCTTATCCAAAAATACTTTCGTCATCAGCACTGCGCCAATAACACCTTCACTGGAATCATAATCAGCACCTCCATTGATGATCAACAGGTAGATGACTGTGAAACAATAAAGATCACAAATACTGCAATGAAGCCAGCACAAAAATTGCTTTTCTTTGACATCTGGGATGCACAGTTTACACTGACAAAAAAATATCAAAAAGTGCTTGAGACATGTAGCATGATATGGTTTTGAGCATGTAGTATGATTATACTGCGCTGTTTTTGAAGGAAGTCTCACCAAGGCTGCATTTAAATATCAAAAATACTTAAAATCGGTAATAGTGTGAAATATTATTAACCGTTTTCTATGTGAATATGTGTTAAGCTGTAATATATTTCTGTGATGCGCAGCTGAATTTTCAGCATCATTACTCCAGTCTTCAGTGTCACATGATCTTCAGAAATCATTCTAATATGCTGATTTTTGACATTTCTGATTATCATCAATGTTGCAAACAGTTGTGCTGCCCGATATTTTTTGTGGAAACGTGATACTTCTTTATTTTTCAGGATTCACTGATGAATAGAAAGTTCAAAAGAACAGCATTTGTTTGAAATAGAAATCTTTTGTAAGATTATAAATGTATTATTTACTCTCACTTTTGATCATTTAATGCAGCCTTGATGAATACAAGTATTAATTTCTTTAAAAAAATCGTACTGATTTTACCTAAACTTATGAACAGTAGTGTACGCCATGGAAATACCATGGTTTTGAGGGTAAATAACATTGGACATAAAATCCCAAAAAGTACTACAATGTAAATACCATGGAATTTTAGGCTATAAACGTCAAAACAGTGGGTAAAATAGTGTTCATGGGCATGTATGTATTTTCACATGAATAGTTGTTTTTGACATTTGTGTTACATGGCACCAGTGTATGACCATCATTTGGAGTCGTTTTGGACATATGTCATTACATTTCCATTGATTTGTTTACTTGTAGCATGGAAATACCATTACATCATTTAAAGAATACAATGTAAACACCACATGAACGTTCAGCACCACTAATATATATATATATGAAAGTTGCATCTGATGCATCACTGCACCATGGTATTACCACAGTACTTCTAGGCTTCAATCTTCTACAACACATACAACTGCAGCATTATAGATCTAACATCCGAAAGGTGAAAATAACCCATAGGACTCAACACAAGCATGATCAGCAACAGGCCGAAACACATGAAGACTTCAGGCCACGTTCACCCTAGACCCCCCCCCACACCCAACCTCTCCAACACAAAGAAACACACGGTCCTCGACACAAAGTTTGAAAACTACACAACAACGACAAGAAACATTCCATATGGGAGAATAGAGATAATAAGAGCATGTAATCACCTCCACTAGTTTCCCAGACAGGAAAAGATGGGAAAGCAATTCCCAAAAGTGTCAAAAGGAACAGTTATTTCCCAAGAAAAGTCAAATAAACATACCAGGACATTAGAAGAACTGCAAACAGGAGGAAACTCACAGCACAACAAATGCAAAACACATCAAAAGAACTTCGCAGATGACTTTTTTTTAACCCAAGTGCAAACTTTCATCTGTTATAACCATCAAAAACTTTAAATTCACGAATTGGAGCAAATATGCACGCGAAAGAGGCCGTAGATGTCCTACAAAGTTGTAAACACAGTTACTGCGGTAAAAGGAGCTATACAGGGGGTTTTAAACTTGACATTGTTGCCAGTATTGAACAAAGAAGCCGTTTCCTCTGGACTCGAACCCCGCACACACACACACACCGAAGCTCAGAGACAAAACGCTTCACACACATTTGCCGTGCAACAAAAGTTCATTAATCACACCAGACGCGTTAAAGTCAAAAACATGCACGTTTACGCGTGTAAAACCCGATAAACGCGGTAAATACTCACCGTTCCTCGCGTCACGCGCGCGGCATCCAGCGGGAGAGAAACGCGCTTCAGCCCGAGAGGAAAAACAGAAAAGTTGGGGGACAAAATTTCCCCCCTCCGCGTCTCAGGTCCCGCTTAATCACGGTGCAAAACGCCTCCTATTTCCCGGGAAACGCGAACAGTCGGCGTCGAGAGTTGTTACAATGTAACTGCGCTCAAATGTAACTCTGCCTAAAGTTCTATTCTAATTCTTTTGAGCGCTACAAATGTAACATCTCATCTTCCGAGGAGACATTTTAGCACCGTCCACATTGTCAGCCCCAACAGTGTATCCCTCCGCGCGGAGGGGAGACGTTATAGCGGTGTCCGATTTCAAACGCCCAGAAAACTAGGACTGCGTTTATTACGCGATTGCTTTGATATCTACCATACACTAAACCTAAATAAACTGCGAAATAATGCGGACAACAGTATATCTCACTTTATCGTAATATGAGCAGGATTTTGCTGTAAATTGTGCCGTACTAGACTAACGCGCGGAATGAGACGACGCACCGTTAAAGACAGATGGACTGAGAAACAGTGCGAAATGGAGCGATAGACCCACTGAACTGGCCAATAGCGTTACAGGAACGTTTGATTGACACATTCAACGGCCAATGAAAACACTTGTAACACTAAAGCCAAACCTCCCTTCCCTGCACACCCTACCCAGGGTTTAAAAGAATGGCAACAGGAAGCAATGGAATACTGTGTTTTTGTTTTACGCAAAACGTTTACCGCTAATTCAGCGGTAGAATCGTGATCTTGTTTCAAAATTTGTTCGAATCAAATCAAAATGTTATAGAACGATTACAGTTAGGCACATGTAAAATAAAATAGGTTATAGCACACTGACTGTACTGAATAGCACCATAGCACTGAAGTACTATGGTGTTACCAAGCTGTTAAGGTATCATAGTACCATGATATTCTTTGGAATATATAAGTGTAAATAAATATGCTAACCATTTAAAACCATGATATGTGAAAATATAATCAACACTTGTACCCCCACACTACAAAAAAAAAAAAAAATCTGGTCAAAAATATATTTTAAATACATGCTAAATATGTGTTGTAAACTATGAAGCTCAATTAAATATATTTTTGAAATTTAAAATATATTACTTCACATACTTCATACTAATTCAGAGGTGAGAAAATATATTTCCAATCTTACAGCATATTTATATATTTTGAAATATATTTTTAAAAAATGGCCAAGAAAACATATTGGTAGAAAGTATATTTATGTAAACATATTTTAGTAAAAAATATTTGTTTACAAATATATTCCTGTCAAAATATATGGGCCCCCACATTACCTTATTGAGGCTGGAAATTGTTGTTTAGATAAATGATACAGTAAACTGAAATTAAATACATGAATACTCATTTATATACCTATTTATCCCCCATTCCCCTCATATAGTAAAAATGGCTCTTATTTGAGACATATGATATATTGATATGCTTACAAAAGCAATAAACCGGTTTCTTTTTTCACCCTGAGTTTGTTAAAACAGCACGCTGGTGTAAAGGCAGTGTTAGCACTTCCTAAATCTATCTTAGATTTGGAGAGCTGACACCTTGGATAATCTAAAATGAGCCATAATCAGAACTGAAGCGAAGCAAATGGCTTCTGGCTCGAGGTGTGAACAGGACTTTCAGGGAGCAGTAAAGAGGAGGAGGCGCCGACATTTGGTGTTGTGGTGGGAAAACAGAAGCTGCACCTCGGCCCTTTAACTGGTGTTTTTTGAGGTCACTGCGGTGCAGAAACCACACCAGGGGAGAGATTAATATGAACAAACAGCAGCCTGATGATTCATATGTGTGATATATCTGTCCTCAGGTGTTGACAGTGAAAATGAGTCCAGGTAAACACTGACATTAAAGTCAACACACAAAATCAAAATTCACCCTTTTTACGTTCTTGATTCATGGTCTGACTGTGAACGAATCATCAGTGCGCAAAGAAAACTATTTTTCTTCATAATCGCTCATCAAAATCTAATATCTGTTTTCATGTATTTTATTGTTGTCAAGAAATCACAATAACAGAAATAAGCTATTAGAACGTTCTCAGCGAGGTTCTCTCTCAAACGTTCTTTCATGAACGTTTGATCAACGTTACAGTCTTAATAATAATCTCAAAACGTTAGCTCAAAAACGTCATTCATGGTTTTTCTGAAACGTTTTAGTTGGACGTTCATCTAACGTTTTTTAAATGTTCACAGAACATTCTAAAGCAATTAGTTACATTTAAAAAAACATTTGATAACCTCAACGTTTGTATTATAAAGATAAACGTTTAAAAAACATTCAGAAATAAGGATTTCATAGATTCCTGGGAATATTCCTGAAAAGGAATAATAACTCCTTTTCAGCTGACGTCAATCTGGGCCAAAACTGACAGCCAAATAACTATTTATGGACACATTTCACAATCAAATGGTTCAAATCAAGTTCCTCTCTACATTTTTTTCTCGTTGGATATCCGGATTCGCTCATAAATACGTTACATTACAGATGCAGCTAAATGCCAGATAATGTTACAAATCGGTGAAGATCAGTGTTGGGGGTAATATATTACAAGTAACGCGAGTTACGTAATCAGATTACTTTTTCCAAGTAACTAGTAAAGTAACGCAATAATTATTTTATTATTTGTAATTTATTTATTATTTTTATTTATACCCAACTAAACATATTAATGTATTATTTTAAACTAAATTAAGCCTTTTAATTCAAACCAAATTAAAGCAGGCAAAAAGACAAAAAAATTAAATGTAATATAAATTCACTTTTTCCAATCAAAATTATTATTTATTTTTTATTATTTTGTTTGATAAAATATTACTTTTATTAATTATTTTATGCATATAATTTAATTATTTTTATTTATACAATTATAGCCTACCATATTAATGTATAATTTTAAACCAAATGAAAACAGACGATGACAAAAAGTAAATCTAAAATTAATACAGATAATTTGTTCATTGCCGACATGCATATACAGTATATGCCAATTCATAAATGCTAATATAAATTCACTATTTTCACTCAAAATTAGAATTTATTTCATTATTATTTTATTAATAAAATATTTTTGTTCATTTAATTATTTTTATTTATAGAATTATACCATGCTAAACATGGTGTAATTCTATAATTATACCATAAATTATTTTTTTTATTAAAATTCTATTTATAGAATTATACCATGCTAAACATATTATTGCATTATTTTAAACTACTTTTTTATATATATATGTTATAAAGAAATGCCAGTGCTGTTTGCCCATGCAACATTTCCAGAGAGTTGCTATGCAGTTTTTCACTTTTTATTATCCACTGACGTTTATTAGTTTATAATAGTTCAATTTTTATTTCTTTGGAATATATGTTTCATATTTTGCATCTGATAGCAAAGCTAAATGATGTGCTGGCCAAAGCAAGCACGCTTCACAAATAACATCCCTGCTCGCACAACTTCATCTCCAGGTCTGTGATGAGTGCTGATGTTTATACTCACTTTACTCAGCCGAGATGAGCAGGCGCCGCGGCTCAGACCCCGTCCGCGCTTGACTATAGCTGCTGTATTGAGTCGATGGGCCCGTGAATGTGCAGGACTGAATGCAGGGCCAGCTGCGTCTGGCATCAAGTGCATTCATCTCAGGGTTTGGAGAGCATCGAGCAGGATTAACTAACTGAAAGCATCCGCCAATACCATCGAAACCATGGCAACCAGCACCTCGCACAACCGACACATACAAGAGAGGAGATACGCTGAACATTACAACAGATAAGGGTCAAAACACACAAGACACACATGATGAGACGGTCCTATGATATCTGGAGACAGACCGTGGCAGCTGTGCAGGACATGAATGGACTGATGATTGCAACAACAAAAAAAAGACCAATTAAAATGGAATTCCACAATCCTTGAGATGATAATATACACACCTGTCAGAAGAATGTCATTCAGAAGGTCCTTAATAATGCTGCATTTCTCAAATCACGTTTTTCTCTGTGTGCAACATGCATTAAACAAGTGAAAGGAATAGTTCACCCAACAATGAACATTTGCTGAAAATGTGCTCACCCTCAGGACATCCAAGATTAGGATGAGTTTGTTTCTTCATCAGGTTTGGAGAAATGTAAGCATTGCATCAGTGTCTCAGCAATGGATGCTCTGCAGTGAATGGGTGCCGTCAGAATGAGAGTCCAAACAGCTGATAAAAACATCACAATAATCCACAAGTAATCCACAGCACTCCAGTCCATCAGTTAACATCTGGAGAAGACAAAAGCTGAAACAAATCCATCAAGACATTTTTAACTTCAAACTGTTGCTTCCGGCTAAAATACAAGTCCATAATCCATAATAACACTTCCTCCAGTGAAAAAGTGCATCTCCTGTTGTCTCCTACATTAAAATCCAGTCACATATTTTTTTAGAGCTGTTTTGGCTTGTAAACA